AGTTGGTGCCAGTTTACAAGTATTTAAGCCAAATCTTTTTAAAAGATCAAGGGCATACTTTTGTTGAGTTACTTTTATTCCATCTAATGAATGTTCAATATTTATTCCCAAAAAATATTTAAGATCCCCTAGATCTTTCATAGCAAATTCATGACCAATGGTATGCTTCAATTTGTCAATTACCTCCTTGACATTTCCAGTGATAATAACGTCATTGGCATAAACAAGTACCATAACTAATTTCATACCTTCTTTGTTAAAGAATAAGGAATTATTGGATTTACTTTTATAATATCTACTTGAGAGAAGTGTTTTGTAGAGACTTTCAAACCAAGCTCGAAGGGCTTGTTTCAATCCATAAATTGCCTTTCTCAATCAACAAACCTATTTATTAATATCAACAACATTATAACCTAGGGGTTGCTCCATATACACATCTTCTTATAGCTTTCCATGTAAGAAGGCATTTTTCACATCTAATTGATGAAGTAGCCATCCATAATAGTTTGCCATGGCCAGAGCTAGTTTCACAATCTCTATTTTTACAATAAAACTGAAAGTTTCTTCATAGTCCAATCCTTATTGTTGATTATAACCTTTAGCTACCAAACGAGCCTTGAATCTTTTAATTGTACCATCAGACTTATGTTTATTTTATAAACCCATTTGCACCCCATTATATTTTTCTTCTTAAGTTTAGGAATCAACTCCTATGTACCATGTTGAAGTAGTGCTTAAAATTCTTCGTTCATAACATCAATCCACCATGGGTGGTGCATTACTTCATGAAATGAAGTTGGTTATGAATCTTGACAAGTCACAAAAAACTTGGAGCTATTATTTTCCTTTTTAGTGTTTGCAAAGGGTGCCTAATCTTAAATAGGAAAATAACATTATGCCCTAGTTTCATGACATGACCTTTAAGGCAGATTCTAATATTGTATCACTATATTTTGATTGCTTGTATTTTGAGTGTTATCTACAAAACTTTCACTTGTATCTTCAAGGTTTGATGGCTCAAGAATTAGGCATGGAGAAGGTGGACTTACAAAAGCTTCGTTGCTTGAGCTAAGTTGCTTAATTGTTCCATTGATGAGTTGGTTTAAAGCTTCTAGAACTATGTCATCACTTGCTCTTTTGATGGACTTTCAAAAGATAAAGATGAATTATATCTAGGAGATGCCAAATCAAAAGCTAAATTAGTACCTGCATCTAACCTGCATCTACAAAGATAAGAGCTAAATTGTCATAGAAAAAGTGATTTTCATTAAGTGTGACATGTGATATGTAGACCTTTTTAGTTTTTGAAGAATAACACTTGTATCCTTTATGTTCATCGTTGTAACCAACCAACACACAAGGTTTTGATTTTTGAGATATTTCTTTCTAAGAGCCTTGTCAATATGAACATAAGACTTGTATCTAAATGCCCTAAAAAATAATTAATTAGTTAACCTTCCAGTTACCATTTGATACGGAGACACGCCATTTGAGTTTGCAAAAGTTGGTAGCCTATTAATGACAAACACAGTATTATGAAATGCTTTTGTCCACAAATGATTTAGAACTCCACTATGAAACATTAATAAAAATCCCAGTTCAGTAATATGTCTATGCTTCCTTTCAGCAACTCTATTTTGAGATAGAGTGTAAAGGCAAGAAAATTATTTCTTTATTCCCATGAAGAAGTAGAAAGAACCAAATGCTTGAGAGCAAAATTCAATTATATTATTGCTTCAAAGATAATTGGCAATTGATAATGCTTTGTCATGAAAGCATGGAAAGATTGAAAAGTATTCAACACATCAGCTTTAGTTGTTAGAAAATAAATCCATACACAATGTGTAAAGTCATCAATAAAGCTAACATAATAATGGCAACTAGAAGAAGAAACCAAATCAGGAGAACCCCATAAGTCAATATGTATTAATACAAGGGAACTAGAGCTGTATGTTTTGGAGGCACAAAATGACCACTTATGATGTTTGCCAAGTTGACATCCTTGCAAATTATACTAGTTGGGATTTACTACAAAAAGGTAGTACATTCTTCTTTCTCAAAATTTCAATATTAGCATAGTTAATGTGTGCCAGCCTATGATGCCATAATTTCGCTAATATATTAGGTTTCCTTATAAAGAAAGCTATGGCAAAAGACTTTGAACTTCTTCACTCTCTAGTACATATAGACCATCTTTATGCCTCCCTCTAGTGAGATTTTCCTCAATTGTAGATCCTTCGTGAAAACAATGTCAGGAGTAAAAATGAAGGCATATTGAAATTGATTAGCAAATTCAGGTATTGATAGGATGTTCCTTTTGAAATTTGAAACAAGAAAAGCATAAGTAATAGTTATGGATCCCATTAAAGATGAAATCAAAGTTTTATCAATATGAGTGATTAGTAGTGCAAATCCATCTCTCATAACAATACAAGAATGCCTATGCCCTTTATATGGAACAATGTTAATAACCTTATTAGAGTCTTTGATCACATTACCAGTAGCTCTAGAGCCTATAACCTAGTTGCCCTTAGAAATTGTTGAAGAAGAGGCTAAGAAATATGTTAAAGCTGTTGGTTTATTTTGATTTTTGTACCTGAAATACCATTCTAGAGTAAGGTGATTGAATTTGCCACAAATTGGGCCAGCTTGTGCATTAACTAGTGTAGGAAGAATTCCATAACCACCAAAATTACGTCTAAATCCTAGACACTGATGATAATCTTGATTAGAGAGTTGTCTTCTTCCTCCATATCCATGTGAAGGGCTGTGATTCGAAGAGTTAAAGACAGTGAAATTTCCTTTTTCTTTTCCTTAATAACTCATTCCTTTTCCTCTATTTCTCTAATCATATTGAGCTTCTATGTAAAGTATATTATTCCTTGTAGTGTTCTATAATGAAATGTCTATAATTTCGCTTGATGCACTCAAGGTAATGTTAAATGCAAGCTCATGTTGAACTAGTAGCATCTTCAAGTCATCATAAGAAGGCAAAGGTGGCTTTGTTCCAACAAAGCTGTAACAAACACTTTATACTTTTCTCCAAGACTAACAAGAATATGATAAACCTTTTGTAGGTCATCTACAAGATGTTGAAGAATAGTCAATTGATAAAAGATTTTCTTCATCCTATTCTAATAATCTTTAATAAAATTTCCATCTTGCTTGGTATGTTGTAATTCATTTTGTAGATACATCAATTTGACTTTAGATTGTTGAGCATAAGACTTACACAATGCACTCCAAAATAGCTAATCAAAGGGTATGTCAATTACTTGAGCAAGAATTTCAAGAGAGTAGTATTGATCCAAGCAATTACTTGTTGATCTTGAGCATACTGTTTCACGTATTTGGGATTGGGATCCATAGTGGGCTTGCCTTTGTCATCTTGTGACTCAACAAACTTAGAAGGCTTGAGCTTCTACCCATCTAGATGACCCATGACACCATATCCTTTTGCAATTAGAATGATCTATCCCTTCCATAGTACGCAATTATCAAATGTGAGTTTTTGTGTGACAAGATTTGATAAAGATGAAGAAGAAGCTAAAGTTTGATATGATTGAGGAAACATCATGTTAGTTAGGATTTGAAAGATTGGGGCTTTTATCCAATAATGAGATAAATGGTCATGAGATGCTAAGATTAGAAGTTGTACATAAGAGGATGATGGTTCATATATAGAATTTTTGAGTCATCATGAACTTGAGATTTGGTTCGCTTTGATACCATCTTAACAGTGAAGAAGAATTGAAAAGATGCAAGAAAAAGAGGTATCTTGATTCTTCTAATCTTCATATTTGGTACAAAGTCTTTATTTCTATACATATAAGTCAACAATAACACTTAAAGACTCTTGAGAACTGACTTGTTCTAAGTACTAAATGTTGGGGATTAACTAGCATCAACATCGTTACTTCTAGTACATTCTCCACGGCCACATTTTGTTTAGAATTTGTAGATGAGTTTCCATTATGAAGAGTATGTTAGAGCACTATAAAGGTGAAAGACCTTCCTCCATTAACAAAAGGTGAAAGATCTTCCTCCATTAACAAAAATTGAGACTATATAATCCTTAAGTTGTGATGTTTAACTACAACATCTTACATAAGTTAGGTAGAGAATATAATATATTTCACATAAAAAATTATAATATCAAATATAAAGTAGAAGTCCATAAAAAAAAATGTAAAAATAAATATTAACGACCAATTGCTTATTACACTAAATAAAATCTTCTTAATTACAATAACTCTTTTTCATTTGATTTCATTGTCACGTTTACTAAATAGAGGTGGTCTAAATTAGTTATTTTACTTTTTATTTTAAAAAATTAACTTTTTTCAGTCTAATTTAAGCTTTGTTTGGCTATATTATGTTACGCTATAATTATAGTTGTAGGTTTGTTGTATTTTATTATCCAAAAAAATATAAAATATGAATTAAAAATAATAAAAAATATAAAGATTAATTAAAAACAATAAATTTACATTTTAAAATAAGATATTGTGTAAAAATTTTCTATAAAAAGCAAAGATTTAGTTATCACACTTACTAAATAAAAAGTGGCCTACATTAGTTCTCATACTTTTCTTTTCAAAGAGAAATTAAATGCTAGGAGTATTTTAATTTTGATGAAATAAAATTCTTTAGAATTTTTTTGGTTTAGTTGAGTGTAAGGGTAAAAACAAAAAATAAGCCCATATTATATTACATAAATGAGTTCCTTTGGAATTATAAATAAATAAAGCGAAACAATTACACTAAACGAGACCGAAAACTCTAACTAATTCAATTAAGACGGAAGTTAGCAATTTACATGCAATGCATTTCATAAAAAAATGGAAAAAGAGGAAAACTAAAAATAGATTGAAAAGCAAGAAACGCAACCCCCGCCAAATACAAAATCGACGTATCTTGCACGCGATAACCAAACTTGTCCGATTCGCATCTGTTTAACAATTTCTCATTTCTCTGATAACCAGACTTGTCCCATTCGCATCTGTTTAACAATTTCTCATTTCTCTCTCTGCTTCTCGCTCCTATCAATTCCTGCTCCATCTCCGGTGACGACGACCACGACAGGGCGAATAATGGATTCTTCTCTCACTTCTCTCAACTCACTCCTGATTCATTTCAGAGGTTCCGCGAACTCATATTTATCGGAGTTCGAACCGCTGACTCTGCTTCTTGCGCCGCTCATCACTCTCCTAGTTGCGCATGTGGTTCGGTCGTTTTTTGGCGTTATTCACGAGAAAGGACTGAAGGCGACGGTGCTGGGGGTGTTAATGAGCTTCGTCAAGTAAAATTTTATGCATACTGTCGATTGGATTTAATTTGGATTTGGTTAGGGGGTGTTGTTGATTTTGGTTAATTGTTTGAAAAAACAGGTTGATTCCTGGTGTTCAGAGTTATATCGACGCGGAGAAACAGAAGGTCAGATTCATTTTCTTCTGTTTTGTTCAAAATTCGAAGCTATTAAGATTCGTTGACCGTGTTATTTGTCTGTGTTCTGATTCGGAATTGAATAGTACTATGGTGTGGAAGTCATGTTTTTGATTCTTTTGGTAATAGATGAAATGGAATTGACTAGATGAACTTAGGAAACATGACATTTAATGGCCTAATGAGTTGTAGACGTTGATGCATTTTCAGTTGGGGATTTTTGATGGATAAGGTTGAGCAATTATTCCAACGTATGGTACTTAGTTGTCATTTGGATTTGAGATGTGGCAGGATGAGTATTTGTAGCACTGGTCTAATCTCATCTCTGATTTTTGGGATTGATGAATGCTTTCATGGACCTGTAATTTAAGGTTTTTCTTGCATTGGGCTTTAGAATTGGTTAGGTTTGAATATTTTCCCTTAATGTAGTTGTCGCCTTGGACCATAATTTGGCTAAGTTGGGTTCCCTTACCTTACTTATAATCCTGAGTTCTTTGATTGATCTTGGTTAATACAGCTACTGCATTGGCTTCTCTGAATTTACTTTCTGACTTGGAACATTGTAGATCAAGTTTCCTTTTTCTTTAGCTAGGATTTTCTGAATATAAGCTGGTGGTATTTCCCCTCCAAAGTTCATTTTTGGGATGAGAAGCTGCAATCTCCTCTGCTTGTTTGTTATTGTTTGAGGTTGGGGAAAGACAAAAGATGTGTCAAGGGCAAGCCTGTCTGGATGTCAACACCAGCAAGGGTTTTGTTTTTAATTAAGAACGTTTAGCAGTATAAGGAATGAGTTACCTGATTTGATGAGCCATAATTTGGCTTGCCATGTTTCTTGTAGAGACCCCATTTGATCTCTCCTTTATCTATTGTTGGAAGGCAGACTCTGACTCTGTTGATTTCGCTTTTGTACATTGAACAGAAGTTAATTCTTGTGCTCTTAACGATGGCATTGGAACCCATAGTAGGCAGATTCCTCCTCAAGGGTGCAAAACTGTTGTAGAAGATTTTCCTTTTCTTCTGTTTGAAGAAATTAATATTAAATTTATAAATTTCTCAGTATGACACAAGTGAAAGAAAGCTGGAAGATAGTGAGAGCATGATTATGTTTATATTCATTGTGTTTTTAGATTTATATCTGGATTTTCTGTGAATCAGGTCTGAATATTATCGTTTTTTAATGACTAAAATCCTTCTGTCTCAAAAATAGTGAGAGCATGGTTTAGTAGTGTGTTGGCCTGTGAACATACAGGTTGTTGATAAGCTACAGTCCAGTACTAAATCCAAAAGAGAGGGGTGGAGGACAGAGTTGCCAATCATTGGCTTAGGAGATGGAGTTATAGAGAAAATGAATGATGAGAAAAGGAAAGATGTTGATTGGCAAGGAAGATGCTCTGGTACAGTGTATGTTTGTAATTTCAGCACTTAAATTATATGCCTTGTCTTCCGAGCCAAATATCAAAAGTAACTTATGTTTTTAGTTGTACTTAAGATGGCTTACTTTTTCTTGCAGCTACATTGGTGGAAATGAATCTGGAGGACATTTTTCTTTGATCAATCAGGCATGTTCAATGTCAGTAAGTTACAGCAGATTTTTAAAGATTGCTTAGAAACCATCTTTAACCTATTAGAAACTCAAGTGTAGCTTCTCTGATTTAACCATAACTGGTGGGATAATTGGAGATAAAAACAGGAACAGCATAGATTTAAATTTTATTTTTCATTCTTGAAACTTCCTTCCCAACAAGGTAACAATATGTCACTCTTGTGGTCAGAGATTAGATTGTTCCTTTTACATTACATACTAATCCATCTGAGAAAATAATTTGTATGCCCACTATTGCTGGCTGAAGTGTATGTAGCTTCATGATACTGGTATGAGCATAGACACAGTTTACATTGGATGCTTGCTAACAAAGTTTGGCTACTAACTCAACTATTGTTGTTAGTGCTAGTATGATTGCTTTGAAAACAACTACAGTTATTTGGTCTGTATGTCTAATGTTATGCTGGGTAGACATAATGTGGCTCTGACAGTTAATGATAGATCATTGTCATGATTGGTTTTTCTCCTTATTTACTCGGCACTGCCAGTCTTTTTCACTCCCCAATGTCAAAATTGTTTAACATCACAATTTTTTTCTTTCAATTTTTGGCACGATAAGTTAATGAAATTTACTCCTCTATTTTGGATCATTATTTATGATTATTATTATTATTATTATTATTATTATTTGTTATGTTTTTAACTGGATTGATTTGTTAAATATCAGTCTCTGGTATTTAAGCAAAATGTTAAAAGAATTGGCAAGTTGGTGGGAACTGTATACTGATATTGAGATTCTAGCATACATGTTATATTAATTTTGATTTTTTTTCAAAAAATTATAATTACAGTGTTTCCTTATCCTCAAAATTAGGATTGCCAATTGATTTGTTATGAATTTGGGATGAATAAGTCTGTTATAGCGGCTACATCTTATCCTTCTAGTTGCATCTCATTAGAACTGCTCGTAATCCTTTTCAGGTTCGCACATACCAATCCATTACATTTAGATGTATTCCAAAGTGTGGCACATTTTGAAGCAGAAGTGGTTGCGATGACGGCTGCTCTACTTGGCAGTAAACAAAAGGCTTCTGGAGGACAAGTTTGTGGGAACATGACATCTGGGGGAACTGAAAGCATACTATTAGCTGTAAAAACATGCCGTGACTATATGAGAAACAAGAAGGGAATTAAAAACCCAGAAATGTGTGCAATTCCCATCTTTTACTATAAATTTTTGCTACTTTATTTGTTCTTTGCCCTGACAATTATTTATATGATGAATTTTCTTTCCAAGCATAGGATAATACCTGTATCTGCTCACTCAGCATATGACAAGGCAGCACAATATTTTAACATCAAGCTGTGGCGTGTTCCTGTTAATAAAGAATTTCAGGCAGATGTCAAAGCAATAAGGCAACATATTAATAGAAACACAGTCTTGGTACATATTTCTATATTGCTTTCCAGTAAAATTTCAGGTGCTTTCTTGGATGGTTTCATTTGCCATGTGAAGTTGTGTTTGGCAGCCTGAACTTTCTTTTTGTGTATCAGTAAGGAGTTGATGAATTTGAATTTTTATGTTACTGCAGATTGTTGGATCTGCACCTGGGTTTCCTCATGGCATCATGGACCCTATTGTGGTGTGTGTCTGTTTTCTACCCATATTGTTAAAAAAACTGCATGTGGCAGTAATTTATTCACATAATTCTTGTCATTGGCTTCCAACTGAAAAGATATTGTATTTATCTTATAGGAGCTTGGCAAATTGGCTTATGGCTCTGGAATTTGTTTCCATGTGGACCTCTGTCTTGGTGGCTTTGTGTTACCATTTGCTCGTAAACTTGGGTATGCCAAACTGAACTCTTGGTTTTAGATTAACCTTTGATTTATGGCTACTAACTTCTCTGCCAACTGCTCTTTTTATGTGATGAAATAATATCTTTGTCATTGTTGTTATTGTTATTCAAAGGCCTGTCATTCTGTCTTTCCCTGTCATTCTCTCTTTCTATGCCTCTATTGTCAATGAATTGTTGATTCAGAATGTTGAACACTATTTATTTGATTTAATAGAATTCTGTACATTTTTCAATATGGGTTTAGGTTTCTGATTTATTTCCCCACCTTTTCTTCTCAGGTATCCAATTCCACCTTTTGACTTTACTGTTCAGGGGGTGACTTCAATTTCAGTGGATGTGCATAAATATGGGTTGGCTCCCAAAGGAACAAGCGTAGTTTTATATAGAAATCATGATATTAGAAAGGTGAATGTTGGATTTACTCTAATTTATCTGAGAACATTGTTTGGTTATTTGACTATATGTCTTGAGTTCAAGTAAGTGATGAAATGATGAATGTTAAATTGACATCTGATATGTCTTTCTTAATTGTATTTTTCGTATTTCAATGATATGGTTAATTTCTAATTTTTGATACTCTATGAAATTTATGAACAAATATCTGGGACAAAAGAATGACAGTAATAGGGTTTTATAGTGTAGCATGCTTGTAAATTTTATCTATAGAAAAAAAATTATTTATATTACTGGTAATACTTATCATTGAATTTGTTTTGATACATATTCTTTTCTTGGCATCTTGGTTGGTGGCTACTAAATGAATATCTTCTGAATTCTTGACCTACTGCTCAACACAGCATCAATTTGTAGCTGGTAAGTACTACAATCTTTCACAATATAGAAGAAACTTGATGGAGGTTAGAGAAGTGCTTATGGCTGTGGTGTGTGTTCAAATTTACATTGGTCAGGCCATTTTCTGTTAATTAAGGATAGATTGGACAACTTCTAGAAGTTTTGAAATGATTTATCAGTATCACTTAAGAAAACGTCATTTTGTGGAGACTGAAGAGAAGAAGCCTTAGCTAATCGTAAAAACATGGCGTTCATGTTTCCTTTAAATGCAACTTGGCTGATAGAAATGATTCATTAGGTTGCTGAAATTAAACTTCAATTTCTTTCAATTGTCTATTGCGTTTAGCACTTTAGTAGTTCTCCACCTCATGTGTATGCCTTACATATTTTCTGTTTGTTCTGCTTATGTCCATGCTCTAGTTACTGAGTGGTCAGGTGGGTTATATGTGTCTCCAACCATGGCTGGAAGCAGGCCTGGTGGTTTAATTGCTGGGGCTTGGGCGGCAATGATGTCTCTTGGGGAAGAAGGTACAGGCTTCCTTTTTTTTTTTTAATGATTGAAGCTACCAATATTTTTCATCAACTTTCTGCTTTTGAGCTCATTACTTTACATTACAACATGTAGGTTACTTGGAGAACACAAGAAAGATCATGGAAGCTTCAAAGATGATAGAGAAAGGGTCTGTGTTGTTTCATATTCTCTTTGTGCCTCAAAGTGTTGAATTCTTAAGAATAACATCCTATTTTATATGCAGAATAAAGGAGATTCCTGAGTTATTCATTGTTGGTAGGCCAGACATGACAATTGTGGCATTTGGATCTACTGTTCTGGATATATTTGAAGTCAATGATATCATGTCTTCCAAAGGCTGGCATCTGAATGCATTGCAGAGGCCCAATAGGTCAGTAGTTTCCTTGTTCACTATTTACCCTTTTTGTAGCCACTTCTACTAGTAAGTTGTCTCATTTGTCATTTACAAGGAGCATCTGAGTAATCAGGCTTCTATTTGAATTGATTAGCCTCCTAATTGGTTCATTTTCATTTACAGTGTCAGGATAAGTACTTTCCTGTACTCCACAACTCTTTCACAGTTGTTGCTTGCAACCATCTATTTTTAGTAACTGATTCTTTTCAATTATGTTCTTGTATCAGCATCCATATCTGCATTACACTTCAACATGTACCGACTGTAGAAACCTTCCTCCAAGATTTGAGGGAATCCGTGAAAACTGTAAGTTGATTTTAATTGAAAGAAGAGCATTTTTTTTCTATTCATTCAGAGCCTAATTATGTGTTCTTCAAAGTTGGACCACTGAGTTTATATACAGTGCATAGTGCATCATTAAGGATATAAGCATGTGCCAGCCATAAGAAGAAATGGTAGTCAGTCTGTTGTCAATGGCAGTTAAATTAGTTCCACGCAGAATTTTATTGTTATCTGTTTTTACGCAGGTAAAAGAAAACCCGGGGCCAATAAGTGGAGGCCTGGCTCCCATATACGGTGCCGCAGGGAAGATGCCAGACAGAGGCATGGTTGGAGATTTGTTGGTCAATTATATGGACACCACATGCTAGTGTCATTTCCAAACATAGGTTCTGATTGCTTCACTTCACCTACAATTTCGTTTGTTACATCTTCTGGATGATTCACAGAGGCAATTAATTCCATCTAATTGAGATGGGGCGCTTAATATGTAATTGATCTTTAAGATTGGAAGTGGTCCTTTTGTTCTTTCCTGTGAACCGATATTGTCAATTTGTCAATTGTCATGATAGCTTAAGAATTAAGATCTAGTAGATTATTAGATCAATACGCTTCATTT